CGACGGCATCGGCCGCCTCCTTGTCCTGGGCCAGCTCACACAGGACGCCTGCAGCCACACGCTGGATGTTCTCCACGGAGTTGTACAGGAGCTGCGGGCCGGACGCGGAGACATTTAGCCCACTCCTGCCTTCTGCTGGGGTGGGGGTGGGGGCACGGGCTCCCACCGGGCAGTGTGGGCAGCGGGGAACACGGACAGGGAGACAGCGGTGCGCACCGGGCCGCAGCCTGCCCCTGAGTGGACGCCTTCCCATTGCGACTTTATGAGAGAGCGTGTGCGGCCACTGTCCCGACTCTCCTCCACTGGACACACCTAGCATGCTGATGCCTGCCTCCCTCACCTGGCACCGTCGAAACCGCACAGCAATGACGACAAGGACAAGAACGAAAACACCCACTGGTCACCCATGGGTGGGGGTGGGGGTGGGGGTGGGGGCTCTGGCACCCAGCAAGGGAACGGAAAATGAGCACTTCAAGGAGAGATTTCATGACACAAACAAAAACCTCGTCTTCAACTTCACGGGAAGCGGCCACCCGATGCGATGTCAACCCTTCCTTGCCCTCGCTGGCTCTTTGGTCTGTCCTCAGTGAAGGTCAGGAAGGTGGTGGTGGTCAGCGCCAAGTGCAAACCTTTGCCCACACTCGGCACTCTCGGGAGAGTCCCAGGCTGGACTGACGTGGGCCGAGGGTGTGACCCCTGCACGGGTCTGCTCAGACTGCACAACTGTCTCCCGATGGATCCCCGGCCAACGTGGGAGGCTTGTGCGGTCCTTAAATGATTTTATGTCAACTTGGATTTTAATGCAAGTGCAGGGGGTGGATGCCAACCTGTCAATCAGGCTGTAAATCTGAAGAGGGACCTACAGACTACCATCAGACTAACGGACTAGAGTCGGACAGGGCCGGGATGCCCTCCTGATAGGAAGTCCTTTCTTCTACACAGATGTGTCACTGGATTGGTCTCTCTAGATGACTAATGAAACAAGTTCCCAGGGTAGAGTCAAACTACAAGATCCTGTCACCTGACTCTGAAATCATTCTAATGCTGGCTCACTCAGTTAGCTCGCCAGCCCAGGCCACTCACGCTCTGCTTTTCCATTGCCAATTTGATAGAGGAAAACCGGCTCTCCATGGAGATGGGGGAGCTTCATGTCTTTAAGCCCTGGGGCTGGGCTTATGAGCCACCTGGGAACAGTGTGCTGCTTTTACTGCCTAACAACTGGTTGCAACACGGAAGCCCAAGCCTCTTGTGACTCTTGCACATACATGTTCCCAGGTGGCGGTTGACCTCTGCGTGTTTGTCAGGTTGTTTGTGGGGTGTACAGGTGGTTTCCATGCTCATGTGATTGAGGCTCAATCTGGTCTTCTCTGGTCCTTCTCTTTCCCGGGGGTCTGCAAAGCCATTTTCATCCAGGGGGTGGCTGAGGGGTCTCTCCTACGGTGGCCACTGGCCCCCCTACTCCTTTGTCCCTCAGAGATCCTGACTCCCGGTCTTCTCCCCTCATTGGGGGTTGGAGAGACCACCTCTCCTCCCCACCTGTCCCAACTCACCTGCACAAACAGGGGGATGGTATTGAGTCGGAAGATCTCCATGCGGTTCATGGGGTCCCGGGCCAGAATGTGCAGCGCACCAGTGCAGCCCTCTACAATCTCCTCCATCCTCACGCCGTCCTGCAGCCGAGAAGATACCCGGGCATGGCCTCCAGCTTCCCGGGCCACCCTGACCAGCCCCACCGGTCCTCAGAGTAGACATCTGCTGCAACCCCCTCTGTGCCTCCCATGCACACATGTAATGCACACCAGGTTACACATACACACTCATCCATGCGCGCACACACACAGTCATGTGCACGCTCCTCCACTTTCGCACGAGGGACAGCTGCTACGAAGACCACCCATCCCTTACCGTGTAGGGCTGCTGTGTGCCTGCAGCCACATGGCGCTGGGCATCCTGGTGGGCTTTGACCAACAGCTGGACAAGACGAGGGATGACCGCTGCCTCCTGCAGTGGGGCATGGTTGGCTGGGCAGAGGGCCAGGTTCCTGATCAGGCCGATGGTTGCCTAGCAAAGAAAGGGCAATGGTCAGGGGCCTTGCTGGGGCACTGTCAAGATCCCAGAGGGCCAGCATTAGTGACTGCCTGCCTCCACTGCCTCTTCTCCCCACCAGGGCTCGAGAGTGAGGCTCCCCCACCCCAGCTCAAGCCCTTCCTTCCGTAGGATGTGTGGGTCCCACGTCCAGCTCTACTAGGACCCCACGAAACACCACCAAAGCCGAGGCCACCCAGTTCGTTCTGAGGCCTGACAATTCCAGGTCTTACAGAGTACACCGACTCCGTCGAGTATGCCTGGCTGTGGTCAACCGACGTAGAGGGTCGGGCCTTGTTTCCACAGCACCCCTGGGTGGGTTTGAACCACCCACCTTTAGGTTAATGGTCAAGCGTGCGCTGTGTGTGCCATCCAGGGACCGTCTAAGACACTCACTGCCATCGCGCTGGATCTGACTCATGGTGACCGTACAGGACAGGAGAGAATTGCCCGAGGTTTTTTGAGACTGTAACCCTTTCCGGGACAAGGCCCTGTCTTTCTCCAGCTCAAACCCTAACGGCCCCTGCTAAAGTGACGCCGGCAGAACTCACCTTCACCCCAAGTGCCGCCGACCCTCCGCCCTGCTCCCTCTCTTCACCCCCGCAGACACTCAGCCAGTTCCTCAACCCTGAGCACCAGGAACCCTCCGCTCTGGTTGCCCGGATATGGGTCCCCTGCTCCGGCGGTGACCAACCTCCATCAGGGCAGTTCTGGGGAGAGGTCTCCTTCCCATCGGCCCTAGCTTCCAGGAGCTCTCTCTCTAGCATCCCAGGGCCCCTCGGCTCTGGAGTCTCAGAGCTCAACGGGCTTCCCCACAGGAAGGCAGGAGGGCACGTCTGAAACGTCTGCAGACGACAGCTGCTAATGCCAGCACAGGGCAGATGACGCGCCAAGGTCAGGGGTCACTTAGCTGTGGGCGTGGGGGGGGGCAAACTCAGCTTTCCTGATGTGCAGTCAGCAGCCCCTTTCTTCACATAACCCTCTCGAACCCCTGGAGGCAGCTGGGAGCAAGTGCCAAAGAGGGCCCATGTTTTACGCAGTGGATGAGAATGACCAAAGTCCTCCCTGTCTGAACTGTCCATAGGGCCTCGCATCCCCACGAGACCCTTTGCCTACAGTTGTTTCTGCTGCTAGGGCACCGGCATCCCTCCGGCTGTGGGTTCTCATCCTTGCTCCTACACATCGACAGACACACACACACACACTCTCACACCGTCTTTCTCTCCCCTGGTCCCTTACAACCCTGTCCCTTGAGCCTATGCAACAGCAGGCTCACTCTCTGCTGTGCCCTGCCCAGCCCCCAGCAGCCTCCTAAGAAGGCTACACACCCCCCTTCCCCTCCCCTCCCCCTCCCTCTCTGGAGATGTCCCTTCTCCCAGAATCTGTGCTCTGCTTTGGAGCCTGAATGTTGGTGGACGCCTGGCTGCCAATCTTGTTTCCGGGCCTTGCTGCCTCTGCACGGGACTAAAGGCCCACATTCGGGATGGGAGCCTGGGTGTTGTCTCCCCCTTTTGGCCTTCTACATTTCTCCCCGCGTCTCTGGGGTGAGAAACCACCTGTGGGGGCAGTGAGGCGGTTTAACCACTCAGGTGAGGGCACAAGAAGCGTGCTTCCTGGACCAACAAAGTCACCTGGGGGCAGGGACGGGGTGGGTCCTGAGAGGGATGCCTATCCTCGGAGAAGGCGGAGCTACAGGCTGCAGGAGGAGTCTAGGTCTCTGGGCGGAGCCAGTCAGATCTATGCTATTTCCAGATGAAATCGATTTCCCACCCTTGGAGCCCCTATATCGCAGGGGCCCTTCTGCTGGAGCCAGGAGCCCTGCCTGGCAGGGGTTCGCAGGTCGAGGGGCAGTTGGAAACCGCCAGGTGCTCCGCGGGAGGAGACAAGAGCTTTCTACTCCCGCCAAGCATTACAGCCTCCGGGGCTCGCGGAGCAGTTCTACCCGGCAGTGAGGTTGGTTTGATCATTGAAGCCCGGAGCACTGCCTGGCAGCGGGTCACGGCTGCTCACCCCAAGGTGGGCAGTTCCACGCCACCAGCCGAGCTGTGGCAGAAAGGGGAGGGTTCTGCTCTCACAGAGGCTGACAGGCTGGGAACCCTGCCTGGAGCCGCCATGAGTGGGGACCGAAGGCAGTGGGCTTGGGTTCTGTTTGGTTTTGTTTCAGCCAGGAGCCCCAGGAAGGCAGCGGCTAAACATGGAGCTGCTGAAGGAAAGGTGGGCGGTTCGAACCCGCCAGCCGGGGAAAGGCCCTGAGGTCTGCTGCTATAAAGATGTCAGCCTTGCCCATCCCCCCACCCCCCAGGGCAGCTCTCCCCTGTCCCCTCCAGGGCAGCGGTTCTCACCTTCCTCATGCCGAGACCCTAGAATACAGTTCCTTGTTTTCGTTGCTACTTCATCACTGTCATTTTGCTACTGTTATGAATTGAGTGACCCCTGTGAAAGGGTTGTTCGACCCTCAAAGGGGTCGAGATCCACAGGTTGAGAACCGCTTCTCTGGGGTCTGAGTGGCCTCCATGGCGGT